ATTTGAAACTCTAAAGGCAACACTCATTACCGCACCAATCATGCAACCACTGGATTGGCAACTACCATTCGAAATCATGTGCGATGCGAGTGATTATGCTGTAGTTGCAGTTCTAGGACAAAGGAAAGATAAGAAGCTTCACGCAATCTACTATGCCAATAGAACTTTAGATCCTGCCCAAATGAACTACGCCACAACTGAGAAGGAACTTCTAGCAATTGTGTTCGCCCTTGACAAATTCCGTTCTTACTTATTATGAGCGAAAATCATCATCTACACAGACCATTCTACCATTAGGTACCTGATAAGCAAAAAGGATGCCAAGCCAAGATTGTTGAGATGGATCCTATTACTACAAGAATTTGATTTTGAAATAAGAGATAAAAAAGGAATCGAGAATGTAGTAGCTGATCACCTATCCCACATAGAAGGCATTAAGCCGGAATCAGTGCCTATCAACGACGATTTCCCTTACGAATGCCTGATAACCAGATTGGAAAGTGATATGCCACCACTAACCTCGGAAGAACCTGAACTAGAAAAAGTCGTGGAAGCCGTCTACGCACGAGTCACACTGCCTTGGTATGTCGATATTGTAAACTACTTAGCCACAAGCGTGCTCCCACCGGATTTCATCTATCAGCAAAAGAAGAAATTCTTCCAAGACTTAAAGCACTACTACTGGGACGAACCTCTGCTTTTCAAGAGAGGAGCCGATAATATATATCGTCGATGTGTCCCAGAGGATGAAACTGAAGACGTCATTTCTCAGTGTCACTCTGCTCCTTACAGAGGACATGCCAATACTTCAAAGACATGCGCCAAAATCCTGCAATCTGGCCTATTCTGGCCTAGTATTTGGAAATATGTCCACGCAACTATATCAAGATGCGACCGGTGTCAACGCACTGGAAATATCTCAAAGTGAAACGAGATGCCCCAAAAAGGTATCTTGGAAGTGGAAATATTTGACGTATGGGGAATCGACTTCATGGGTCCATTCCCATCTTCGTTTGGTAACAAGTACATACTCGTCGCTGTCGACTACGTATCGAAATGGATTGAGGCTATTGTCGCTCCAACTAATGACACGCGAGTAGTTCTCAAACTCTTTAAGAATACCATCTTTCCCAGATTCGGTGTGCCCAGACTTGTCATCAGTGACGGTGGTTCACACTTCATATCGAGAATCTTTGATAAAATGCTATCGAAATATGGAGTAAGACACCGTGTCGCAACATCGTATCACCCGTAGACCAGCGGCCAGGTGGAGATCTCTAACAGAGAAATAAAATATTTTAGAAAAGACAGTTGCCACCTCCAAGAAAGATTGGTCATCATAGCTAAACGACGCTTTATGGGCCTATAGGACCGTGTACAAAACGCCGATAGGAACTACGCCGTTCAAATTAGTTTATGGGAAATCTTGCCACCTGCCAGTGGAACTGGAGCACAAAGCCTTTTGGGCCATTAAAACGCTAAACTTCAACTACACTGAAGCAGGCGAGAAACGGATTTTGAATTTGTACGAGTTGGAAGAGCTTAGATTAGACGCATATGAGAATGCCCGAATATACAAATAGAGAACCAAGAAGTGGCACGATAGGCGTTTAGTCCGTAAACAGTTCAATGTGGGAGACGTCATGCTCCTTTTCAACTCGAGATTGAAACTTTTCCCAGGAAAACTAAAGTGCAGATGGTCAGGTCCATTCGAGATAACTAGAGTCCTTCACAGTGGAGCTGTCGAAATTTGCGATAAAGTCAATATGCCGTTCATAGTCAACGGACAACGTCTAAAGAATTACAATCAAAATGACGACAGTAACCACGTGAGCAGACTGAAACTGCAAGAGTTTCCTGCTCAACATTCCGAATAGATTGCCACCAAGCTATCATCGGGCTTCGACGTTAAAAACAATGCTGAGTGGGAGGCAACCCATTTCCACCCTTTCTCCCTTTTGAAATTATTGACATTATGTTTTTCATCTGATTTACACTTTTATTTTTAGTTTTATTTTTATTTTAATTTTATCACCTTCTATTTCTAAAAACTAATTTGAGTAAAACATGTTTTCAACTATTTTCAGGATTTACTCACCTCCTTTTTTACTGACTAACTAGCGAGAATGGCTAACATCGATTACACGGTTACTGTTTTTAGAGGATCAGCTCAGCAAGCCCGATATGAGGCTTTGACTCGGAGAGGCATCGCTTTGACACATTTCTATGATGGTTCCACTATGGATCAGCTAGGCATTCATGATAGCATCCTCTACCTGTTTAACCAACTAGACTGGGAGCGAACTGCTCTAAAAACCCGTTGGGTTACCCATCACGAACTCACATTTGAATTCCTAAGCTCCCTAAGCTACAGACCCGAATATGGATATGGATCCACCAAGGAGATGATTTCTTTTAGACTGTTTGGGACTGAGTTTGAATATAACCGTAAGTCATTAGCTGATCTTTTACGTTTCTCTAGCGGACCGTTCTCGTATACTAACACTCAATAAGAAGATATGGATATCGAGTTAGACTACTTCTGGGGTACTATTTCAGGTAACTATCACCCTGAGCCAAATGTTGTGGACTCTAACGAGATACACAATCTTGCGCTCCACTACTTTCATAGGATATTAGCACATACCCTTTGTGGGAAGGAGGAAAACATTACCGCTGTCTCAAAGGAAGAACTGTTTATCCTGTACTGTGCATCACAAGGTCGTCCAGTCAACGTTGTACCATTCATGATGAGAGCCTTTGAAAGGATTAACCAGGAACAACGTGCACCTATCATTGTAGGAGGCCTCGTTACTATGATTGCACATGCATTAGGACTTAGGTACCAGCTGAACAAAATTAAAATCTCTGGCCTAATAAGACCTATGGATATATCATTCTGCTTTAACCAACGTATTATAGGTAACTTAGGCCCTGACACTTATGAGTACCTAATTGCTAGTCGACCCGTCCACCTGCTTATACTACCTAACCATGAGAAAACGAGTGTCCACAACCGAAACAACTGGATGTACGAATTGGACGAACCTATGGGTCTTGCTTCACCTCACTCCACACCTCAAGACTACATGTACGATAGTGACCATATTTCCGAAGCTCAAGATTACATGTACTACGAGGATTATGTATCGGAAACTAAGACTGGCCCTGAAACTCCGCCAAATTACCACAATTTCCCTGACCCCATCCCTGACCAACAAACAGACAAGCTGGATGCCCTTCAGAAAACAGTGGATGATGTCAAATTGGAAATTTATACTGTCAAGGAAGAGCTAACAACATTGCAGATGGAAGTCACTACCTTCATGGACGTAGTGTGTGAACAGTTTGATCGCCTTACTAAACAGCTCGACAACTTGAAGCAACAGAAGGACTGATTAATTTTTAGCTTTAGTTTTAAGTTTTAATTTTCAAATTTTTCTGCATTTTGAACAATTTATAGTTTTATGTTTTTACAATTTCAAGTTCATTTTAATTCCTGTACTTTACTATTTAATCAATGAATTTCATTTGCAATTTTATTTTCATCACGTATTCTTTACTTTTAATTCATTGCTTGGTCGATTTACTGGTCTAGAGTGAGACTTAATGATATTACACAATGTCTGTACGAACTAAACAGCACAAATTCTGCATCTGCAGAATTTGCTGCTATGACGACCGTCACAGCCGTGTTACGCTCGTCACGAGCATGACGATCGTGACGCCCCCCTCACGATCGTCACGAGATTATGATATTCTGCTAAATGGCAGAATACGACCGTTGGGGATTTTTCTATCTCTCCAATCCTTAACTTCCCACTCTCACGATTCCACTTCCCCCATAAATCACCCACTTACTCATTCATCCCATTCACCCTTATTCTCATCCAATCCAATCGTTTGCTTCCAAAACTTTCACATTATAAAGTCACGGTTACCTCCTCATTCCCATTCCACAAACATAAACTCTCATCTCTAACACTCTCTCTATTTCGCACAAAAATCCTCAGAAGAAATGGCTCGCCAAGGAACACTTCCAGACATGTCCAACATCACCTTCCGAGACGGCGAAAAAGGAGACCAGCAGAGAATGAATTACGTTCAATTTTATCAGCGTTCCGTCCAACCAACTCGATATGTCGATGTTTCCTGCATTACGGAATTGGGTATTCGAGAAGGCGTCCAATGGATGCTACAGAACGTCGGGCTGTGGTTTCTCTGCACAACACCGCAGCCTACCTACGAACAGCTTACTCTGGAGTTCCTCAGTTCATTCACCTACATGACGCCCCCTCGATGATACCAATCAACTCACCGGCGTTGCAAGCTTCAGATTATTCGGCCGGGAATATCAGCTAACCCAGACTCAACTGGCTCAGATGCTCCAATTTCACCACGGTACTGATGCCCACGGTAATGAGAACCCTAATTTCTCATCACCTTATATATGGACTAGGATCCCCAATATACCGTACACATGCAATATATCTCTTCTCCCCATCTGAAGAGTAGTATTCAAGGCATTAGGAATTCTATTTGAGGAAGAACCATATATATCATATTGTTTGTATTGTTTGTCTTTCATTATTCAGGATTACCGTCAACAGAATTTTTTATAATAAATTCAGGTATTCTTGTAATTTCTTCTTTTATATACTAACATGTTATAGATCCTGTAATTATGTACATATTTGTATTATCTATTTTATTATGTATTAAAATATATGACATAATATATAGAACATGTATATGTGATTAATTGTTATTGAAGCAATAACTCAACCATGTTAGACACATGCAAATAGTAAATTTAAATGGTAGAGAAAAATTAATTTATACGAAAAGTGGAGACTAGAGATAATGCCTAATATATGAAAATTCAAATAATAGTTTGGGACTTGCTATATAAATACGTGACAAAATCATAGATAGAACCACAAGTGCAGAATCATAAATAAGTCTCTTCTAAAATTAATTAGATTCACATTATCATAAGCATGACTAACATGATTGTGAAAGGTTGTTTCATTATTTTGAGCTTTGTTGGGATAGTCTCAGCTCAATTATCATCTGATTTTTACTCAACAACTTGTCCTACTGCGCTTTCTATCGTTAAGGCAGGGGTAACTACTGCTGTGTTAGCAGACAAACGCATGGGCGCATCACTGCTTCGTCTTTTTTTCCATGATTGTTTTGTTCAGGCTAGTTTCACTTCTTCTTCTATCTTTTAAATGCGAATATAATTTATAAACGTATTCATCAATATTTTGTGTTTGATTATAGGGTTGCGATGCATCAGTACTATTAGACGACACATCAAGTTTCAGAGGTGAAAAAACAGCAACCCAAAATGCTGGTTCCTTGAGGGGTTTTGATGTAATTGATACCATAAAATCTCAACTTGAAATTTCATGTCCTAATGTTTTCTCTTGTGCTGATATCCTCGCTGTAGCCGCAAGAGATTCCGTTGTTGCAGTAAGTAGTGGTGGCAACATTTTTAAGGATTTTGTTCATTGAAATTACAAAGTGTAGTAACTAAATAAAATAATAAATTTTCAGCTGGGTGGATCTGGTTGGACTGTGCAATTGGGTAGAAGAGACTCAACCACAGCTAGTTTAGATTCTGCCAATTCAGATTTACCTGCTCCTGATTCAGATCTTAGCACTCTTATTGCTTCTTTTGTCAAGAAAGGTTTCACTACCATCGATATGGTTACTTTATCAGGTAACTAGAATTAGATTATCATCTCGTGTCTGTTAGTATCTGTATCATTAGAGTTTATGCTTTTAAGTAATTATTATGACTTTTATTTGCATATTAAAAAAAACTTCAGGAGGTCACACAATTGGTAAAGCTCGCTGTAAATCCTTCCGAGACAGGATTTACAACGAGGACAACATAGATTCGACATTTGCATCATCATTGAAAGCTAGTTGTCCTACCACAGGCAGTGACGACGATTTGTCACTTCTTGACACTGCCGCATCAGACACATTCGATAATTCTTATTTTAAGAACTTGCAAAACAAAAAGGGTCTGTTACACTCAGATCAACAACTTTTCAATGGTGGTTCAACGGATTCTCAAGTTAATTCTTATGTTAATAATCCTGCAAGTTTTCTAAATGATTTTGCCAATGCGATGATCAAATTGGGAAGCCTTAGTCCACTCACTGGGTCTAGTGGTCAGATAAGGCAGAAGTGCAGGTTCGTCAATTAAGGTTGTGGGACTTTGGAGAACATAATGATGATAATTAATGTGTGATTTTATTTGTGTGCAATTGTGTATTTATTATGGTATTTTCAATGTTTTCATAAATGTAACGAGTTTAAGTTTTAATGTTTACTTGTGTAATGCATGGAGTATTAATTTATGTAAGTGTGACAATTGAAACTCATGAATGTAATAAATTGAGAATAGCTTTCATACGTAGAAAACATTCATTATAACTGTTCTTTCATTATCGTAGTAGATCGTTGGTGTTTGGAATGAAACCTTGAGTTATGCAGCCAGTAGAGGAAAGTTATCATACTCTTCCTTTATTCTAGAATGTGTCATTACAGTTTTCTTCTTAGACGTCCATTAGATGAGATTGGGTCCTTGAAACACTGCAACACTTAAGGTAGAACGATGATCATTTTGATCGACAACACAGACTGCATCACAATATGTTAGGATGCTATCATAAGAATCCTAACAAACTTAATAAAGTTGTAAAATCTAAACTATGAAAAAAGACAAATAAAAAACTAAGAGAGAGAGAGAGATAACTAAAAGATAATAAAATATAACATTTGATTTGACTGATTTTTTTTCTAATGTGTCGTACATACTACATATATAAAATTCTTAATGGATGATTAACCATAAAGCCCAAAAACTATCAAAGACCCAATTCAACAATATCTAAAGATTATAAAAACATTTTAGAAAACATACAAAATAAAATAATATCTAATATAAATTCAACTTCTAACATAATATCTTAATTATCTAAAATTAACTCCATAATCCTATCATTCAAACCCTTTCAAAAACAACATTGTCTTCAAGGTTGTAGACAAATAACTCTTAAAATAGGAAAAAATATTCATGCTCGGCAGATAATGAAGCTCGACTTGTAATGTGTACCAAAACATATGCATAATTCTGACCCAAACTTCAAACACGTGGTGATGTACATTCACTTCTTCATGAAGCTATTCTGTTGTAAATGTGCCTTAAAATTTTTGTTGATGAAGAGAACAAAAACATATTTTGAATATTGTATTTACAGCAAAACACGAAAGTTTCAGAAAGTCAGACGAAAAGTCGGAAAAAAAATAATAAAATCATTCGATGAATAGTATCGCCTGTATGATGAATAGTACTATCCGTACAGATGAATAGTGACGCCCGTATGGTGAATAGTGACGCCCGTACGGTGAATAGTGTTTTTGAATTTTCGGGCATTTTTCGATTCGGTCCATGGATCCATGTGATTTTGGGTTTTGTTTGTTAGGTATTTGCTATTATAAATGTGTATCTCTTATATGTTTGGTGTGTGACAATCTTAGAGTTTTCGCCAACAAGGGAGACCAAGGATTTAAAGGTATAGGATAGGGTTTCAGCTATTCACAAAGAAAATTTTGGATTACACCTTAGATTTGAGTGATTCATATATTGAGAGTTGGAGAGGTAGGGAAACACTTGGGTAGAAAATAGGGTTGTTCTTGAGCGCCTTCAGGGTTGTTCTTGGAAACCTCAAGGTGAAGGCTATTTTCTTGTAACTCATCTGTAATCTCTTGTAACAACTTTTTGAGTATAGTGAATTGGAGAGTTGCTCTCTCCCCCAGAGTAGATCTTTTGATCAAACTGGATAAATAAACCTTCATTTTTTATTGCCTTATTCTGTTATATTATCTGTGTACGGATTATTATTGCTGAAAACCATTTATTTTGGTTGCTATTATTCTTTGCCTCACAAATTGATATTGAATTTTGTCATAATTCACAACAAGATTCACAACAAATTCTTTTAAAAATCTTTTCAACAAGCTGCACATTTCTTGAGATTCAACCATTCATCCAAATCAACAACTAAGCTTTCTATATGAGATCTTCAGGTACCAATCAAAGTATCTCAACAACATTCCAAAAAAAAGCTATCAACCATACTATCTCATTATAGATAGTATTCTCAACAACATGTGTCTAGAAAAGTAACAACACAAGTGAAACAACATGTTTTGGAATATTCTTGTGTTTTGCGAATTTACCATTTGTTCTTGCAGCAACTTCAAAGCATTTTACTCCAATAGGGATGAGGTGGACACCAAACCATGGTTTGAATATCGAGAGAACTGGTGCAAATGAGTTAATGGCATAGTGCAAAACCTTCTTTTTTTAAATCAATCCAAATTCTACAATTTCTTTTGAAATCTTTTCTGCTTTAGATGACACCTAATTCTTGTAGTACAACATGTTCTTGGATAACTCTTTAGGGATGTAAGAGCCTCCTTAATAATTGTTTAGTTGCAACAATTACATTGGCATGTGTTGTATGTTCAGAAGTTGGATGGTTTAATTCAAGAATCGGAACAAAATTTTGCATAGAAATTAAATTTCTACAAAAACAGCTACTAGTGAACCAACTCTCATGTGTTGCTATCTCTCCCACTTGTCCACTTTTGACCACAAGAAGTATATAGACATAACAATTATTGAGTGTATTTGTGTAATCAATAAGACATTCCTTTGCTCATCTTGTGAATTTAAATGTATACAAATAAAAGGAAACCAACATAAATACCATTAATATCAACACAATCCATTGTTGAAGGAACTATTAATTCTATCATAACTTTCTCATACATCTCGGTTGAATTTGAGATCCAAACAACCCTAAGTGATGAACTTGGTGCCAACACATACAACTTCCATATTTATGGACACCAAGAAGCATGTGTAGAAAAATATTCAACCCACACAAATGTAAGATTAATTCTAACAAGGGTTAGTGGAAATTGTATGACCTCTAAAATTTGATTTATCATGTGGTCACCATGGATTATCTTAATGCTTTCTAATGCAATGAATATGGGGTCATTAGACAACAATATAGCTTCATACACTTTAGATAATACTGATTGATAACTTGTGAATGTTGTTGACAATAATATCCACCTAATAATGAGAATGATGCTGCTAAGACTCAAAGTAACCCCTCATGGAACAACCTAGGAACCATCTTTGCCAATAGATTTTGTGATGCTGACTGTGCTGGAGATAGAATTGAAAGGAAGTCCACTAGTGCTTCTTGTCAATTTATAGGTGAAAACCTTATCTCTTGGGGTAGTAGAAGACAAGCAATTGTTGCTTTGTCCACAGTAGAAGCAAAATACATTTCAGTTGCTAATATAGTCTTTTTTCTTCTCTTCTCTTTTTGATTGATGACAAAGGGGGATAATGAATTGTGTAATTTAGGCTAATAATGGTTCCGAATGTGGTTAGTAATTCTATTTAGGGGGTTGTGAATCTCACCCTTGGAGTAAATTTATTTTTCCGTATGGAGAGGAGCTTACAAACCTTAACTCCTAGACTTTATAAAAAGGGCTCAGGAGGAGCTTACAAACCTCACCTCTTAGATTGTTTGACTCAGGGGGGGCTTACAAACCTCAGACCCTAAAAGTTAATGAGTAATTAATTTGTTTTTGATTGGTTTTCTAAAATACTTAATGTTGTCATCATAAAAAGGGGGGAGATTGTTGGAATAATTTTGGTTCATACCATAAATCCTCCAAGGTTTTAATGATAACAAAGTATTTGACAAACAATTAGGATTTCTAACTAGTTAGTTTGTGTGTGCAGAATTATATTTACTTGATGGAACTAGTTCTGACATAGAAATGGCTTTGGTTCAGTTCTGGTCATGCTCTCTCAAGGAAGTCTGATCAGAATAGCAGCTGCTAGTACATTCCAGCTCAGAAGCATGTTATGTTGCCTCTGATGCTGGGTAATGTCATGTCAGTTCTGCAAACACGGGACTCAAAATTTATTGACATTTTCTTCTACAGGTTATGTTGTACTTGAATCATATTTGTATCCTCTAGACAAAGGCCTTGTTTCACATATTTTCTTGTGACTGAAAGTTCCAATGAAATTCTGGTATCAGATATGATATGTTGAAGGAGATGTCACGATACTAATATCTGAACAATCACCAATATATGAACAAGATAAAAATACTGTTAATAATAGTAAATAGACACAAACAATTGTTAACCCAGTTCGGTGCAAACACACCTACGTCTGGGGGCTACCAAGCCATGAAGGAATTTCACTAAATAGAATTAGTTTGAAGATACACAGTAAACTCTCTCTAGTTTACAATCCTCGCACCTAATCTCTACCCTTGCAATTTCTATCTAAAACACCTTAGATATGAGACACCTCTCACTCCCACTCAATTACAGTAGTGATAACAATAGATGAATAAAACTTAGAAGACACTTTTCAAAGACAATACTTGATCTTGCTTAAAAGCTTCAATCAAGAACAATACACTCTTGCTTACAAGCTTTGTGTGAACAACTTACAACATAAAAACTCAGTCCAATTCACACATTAAGGTGACGAGTGAATGGCTCACAAATACAAACACATGAAGCTAACAACTTATACCTTATGCAATGCACTAACTTAACTCTAGCTTCTCTAACCAACAAAATAGGATTGTGAAGACTATATATAGTAACACTTTGAATGGGCTTAGGCTTCAGCCAAAAACAGCTTCTGATTTGATAAAATCAATTCAGATAATTTTTCAAATCTTATCATAATAACCATCAAGGAAATAGAGCCAAAACAGATTTGATCAAATCAAATCAAATCACTCTTCAAATCTTCAAGATTTTCTTCAAAAAATAGCACAAAAGATTTCAGAATTACTCCACGAATTATGCACCAATAACTCTTTTGAATAAGGACTATTTCCATGCATATTCGAACCACTAAAACTCTAATCACAACAGTGCAAAGAGTTGCACAAAAATGCAATAGTCAAACCAGAACATTCTCACTAAATGTTCTGTTCACAAATGTCAAGACATCACACTTGACATCATGAACTAAACCCTACAACAATAAAAATAACCACCTGTAGAATGTTAAGAACATATGTCAAGACATCCTGTAGAACATCTTGTGATATCACCAAGTTTTACCAAAATTCCTGCCAA